AACTTTGAATCAGCTGTGTTCCAAGAATGCTGCAAGTTGTTTGGCATACGAAAGACCATAACAACGCCACTTCACCCACAGTCTGATGGGATGGTAGAAAAGTACAACTGGACACTGGGACAGTAATTGGCAAGGTTTTGTAATAGCCACCAAGATGACTGGGATGTCTTACTCCCTCCACTGTTGATGGCCTATAGGACAGCAGAGCATGAAACCACTGGATACACTCCAGCAAAGTTGATGTTTGGTCGGGAACTTCGGTTGCCAGTGGATCTGTTAACAGGATGCCTACCTTATGAAGAGTTGCCTGAGAATGTGTCAGAGTTTGTGAAAGTGATATCGGAAAGGATGGATGATATTCACCATCAACTTGAAAACGTCTGCTGATTCGATGAAGCTATCTAATGGTAAGAGATCTACTGAAGTCAGCTTTGAACCAGGAGACAAGGTGTGGTTGTATAATCCCAGGAAGACCAAACGAAAGTCTCCTAAGTTGTCCTCTCCATGGGAAGGCCCATATGATATAGTGGATTGTCTCTCAGACGTGACTTTTCAGGTAAAATGTGGTCGGCGAGGTAAGCCAAAAGTGGTGCATGCCAACAGGCTTTGGCGTTATCACGGTCCAGGACATTTCAGTTGGGACGAAGTGGGCAACAGAACAAATGATGCTGCTGAAGACGTGCCACCTGAAAAAGCCACCATCGAAGAAGAAACTCTACTCAGTTTTGAGAAGGGAAAATAGTGAAGCTCTTGATGAAGTTACTACCACTGATGTGACTGTTATCGACGATAGAACATTTCCTGATGAAGCAGATGAGCCCCATATGAAGCAGAAGCCAACGAGACGGAGACCAGTACGGAAGAGGATACGTCCCATAAAATTAAGAGACTTTGTTGCATTGTAATTTTGTGTTTGTAATTCTGTAAATTTAATAAAGTTATTGTTAATTGTTATTGGTTTAATGTAAGTGGCTATTGTTTGGGATGAACAATACTAAGGAGGGGCAGTGTTGCGTCAGCGAGATCACGTGACTAGTATCACGTCACGTCCTTCTCTCGAACCTTCGTGAATTATCGGGAGACTACTAGATTGGGGTAGACTCGTATATTTATAAGATGGTCACAACGTGAAGAGGTAATGAGTAATTGAACTGCAGTCAGAGAGTATTGTTGAACTGAGCACGTGAGACATTCGTTGTTATAGCGCGACTGTTGAAATTAAGTGTATCACAAATTTATATTTAGAAAGAATAAATCAGTTTTATTTAAGAAAGGACTTGTGTCGCTAAAGTTTCGTCGGAACGAAGTTACAGAAAATTAACTAACGAACAGAGATGTAACAATACCATAAAAGGGTACACTCGTCTCTTCGTAAATCTTCTAGATATTCATCACGTGTTACTAGGGTCACGTGACTTCCGCTGTAGTAACACTGCCCCTTCCTTAGTATTGTTAATCCCGAACAATAGCCACTTAAACTGAACCAATAGATAATTAACAATAATTGAATTAAACCTACAGAATTTACAAACAATACAAACACAAAAATTAAAATTCAACAAAGTCTCTTAATTTTACGGGACGTATCTTCTTCCGTATTGATCTCCATCTCATTGGCTTATGCTTCACGTGGGGTTCATCTGCTCCATCGGGAATTGTCCTATTATCTTTAACAGTCACATCAGTGGTAGTAACTTCATCAAGGGCTTCACTGTTTCCTTTCTCAAAACTGGGTAGAGTTTCTTCTTTGACAGTGGCTTTTTCAGGTGACACGTCAGTATATCCGTGTCAGTGAAAATTACTTGTAACTGATGATGACAAAACCTTGTCGAAACGTTGTACATTTGCTGTTATGCTAAACTTATATTAAAGTTTTTCTTCATTACCCATTCAAGCCGTCTCCAGCCATCATTTGTGATAATGTTATAAAATATATGACATTATCACCCAGTCAGTGTTCTGAATTGTGTTTACAAATGTTCCAGTGATGTTGTGTTTTTTTATAGTTAAGTTGCTCATATTTCTGCCTCTTTCTGCAAGTCGGTGTCTTCTTATCTGAGTGTAAGGATAGTTGTTACAGCTAAACATTTACAAACCAGATCTGAGGTAAAATTTGAATTACACGTCAGTTGAATGTTTGATTAAAGCCTCGTAAAATAAAATGTAATGCTTTACATTCTCGTTGGTATGCTGATTATAGTACTGGAAACGAAGTAGTACTTGGGTTTGTGGCCTGTGAAAGTTCTAAGTTAGCATTATTTGTTTCGGTATTAGAGCTACCTTATTCTTGTGTGTTTTTACCTTCAGATGAGCCAAACTATACTCTGAGTGAAATATAAAGAATTGTATGAGAAGGTAAATCGATGATTTTTTTGTTTAATAATCATGCCATAAGTTTCTGAAATATAAACTTTACTTGTATTATCAAGATCCAGACCCTTGAAATCATTGAAACACGGAACGCCCATTTCATCGTATTTGAATATATGGATTGTGGAGACCTTCGGAACTACGTTAACAGTGAAAAGTTTCTATTGGAAGCAGAAGCACGACGGATTTTTCGGCAGCTAGTGGATGCCACGAACGCTTGTCACCTTGTGGGTGTGTGCCACAGGGACATTAAATTAGACAACATCTTCGTAGACGAAAACAAAAACATCAAGCTTGGAGGTACACCAGGATGCCCAAGCATCTGTTTTAAGATAAAAGCAACAACAACACTTAGATAATTAAAATAATAAAGTATTTACCTTACTTGTTATAAGGAAAGAAAATCCACTGCATGCAGCAGCCAAATCGTTGCTTATGTTAGGCCTAGCGTCAAGAAGTAAACCATTAAACTTATTAGTAATCAGTAGCTAAAAGTAAAATATTAAGCCTAAATCACTCTAAAGATATTAATGAAACAAGTTTTATGTGTCACACTCTAATTAAAATATTAGATTGGCTGCTCGTAAACGTACTATTTATTCTTATAAAATGACCAGTCCCGTCAATTTTAAGTATTTATAAAAATACATTTACACTATTTCTGTTTTATAAACTATTTATCTCAGACATAAATACAAAACAACAGCAAAAGGGAGTGCTTAAGTATTACATCACACAGTTTAATACAAATTTAACCTCCTCCCTCTCCTTACATATCACACAGTAACACACTAGCCACCATCAGTGTTCCCAATTACGTAAAGCTACCATGCCTCCCCCCCCCCCACGACCATCATGCACACACATGTAATAGTTATGGTTTTTACTGCTGAGTTAAAGGTATCTTTAAGTAATTTTTTCATCCAAACTCAATGACTATTTTATCTAATTCTCAAACTGAAAAGTGCAGTGTTAATATTCGATTTCAATAAACAACCAATCGTCATTACACCCCTGATGGTTTAGTAGTAATTATACAGAGGAGTTTTATAATTTCTAATGATTTTATCTAACGAAAATATTTTATAGAATTTTCTTATCTTTTAGTACTTTGCCTACGAGAGCATAGAATGATGGCATTGGCGTGTTGAGCATATGGCATACTCCTCTCTGGGTCAAAAGAATTCTAAGATTGCCTTTGGAGCTGATGGGGACATTTGACCGCTTTCCATAATATTTAATCTCTTATAACAATCACCTTGATTCCAGGCTGCATTAAGTTATGCTCTCCGCCTCCCCCACGTGAAAATTGCAATGCAAACGTGATTTTAAATACAATGTGCCATACAACAGTCACTCATACAATAAGTGTCAGTCTTGCCTAATATATGATTTTTTAAATTGGTTAATACTTTTTTACTTATCATTTAAAGATACCCCCACTCCTTCTCCTGTAACACTGAGTAACACTCAGAATAGTATCCTACCATCTTTTTACAATATATTGGAACAGCCCTAAAGTTATGTTTATTTTTCTTTTAAGCTTTGGATTAGCGGTGGTAGGAGAGATCTTCATCGACTCCGTGAGCACTGTGGAAGTTATGTTTATTTTTCTTTTAGGTTTCAAATTAGCGGTGGTAGAGGGAGATCTTCATCGACTCCATGAGCACTGTGGAAGTTATGTTTATTTTTCTTTTAGGCTTCAGATTAGCGGTGGTAGGGGGAGATCTTCATCGACTCCATGAACATAGTGGAAGTTATGTTTATTTTTCTTTTAGGCTTCGGATTAGCGGCAGTAGGGGGAGATCTTCATCGACTCCGTGAGCATTGTGGAAGTTATGTTTATGCAGCACCTGAAATACTGAACCAGCAGGAATATGACGGATTCCAGGCTGACATCTGGAGTCTGGGTAAACTTTTACGTTCAATATTATTATCTGATATTACATAAATAAACGAATTCATACTGTTATGTCTCTGTTCGTTTGCTAATTTCCTGTAGAAATTCTTCCCGAGTAACTTCAGCAATACAAGTCCTTTCTTAAATAAAACTAGTTTATTATTTCTCAATACAACTTTGCAATACATTTAATTTCCACAGTTAGTTTAACTTAAACAC